GCTCAGAGCCAACAGTGACAAGAGACTTGAAAGAAACTGGCAGCCCGGGCTCGACCAAGATCGCTTTTGAAGTCAGGAGTTTTAGACATGCAGTAGCACTGACAAGGCACAAGGTTTTCAACAGCTCTGCCCTTGCCAGACACTAACATTTACAATATTATGATAGAAAGAGAGAACACTACAGAGGCTTACAAGTTTCATATGTTCTAGATTCAAGCAGCCAATCAGACAACACACATTGTACTGCTTCTGCTGAGAAGACAAAACAGGTTTCACTCCATGACCAAACGACTGCTGTATAAATCACAGCAAGTATAAGGGCCATTTCTAAAGAGATCAATGTTTCAGCTGTGATATGCTGAAAGAGGGCACTCACCCCTCAGAAAGGAAAATCCTTCTCCAAGTCATGGCATCCACTTTTCCGGAAGCCTATAATTTAGCACTGTGACAAGTGTTTCCCCTGACTGTACTAGAGGAGACTGAGTGCTTCAAAAAGCAAGGATCTGACAGAGCAGAGTCCCTCCTGACACTGCACTGACTATATTTGCACATACATGGCCCACACTGAATTGTGACCAGTGAACAACACAAGCTCAGGCTCATATGACATCATGTCCAAMTCTAAATCTTTTTCTATTTCTCTGACCAACTCAGAATCATTCACATATATTACCATGGTACTTCAAAGAAAACAGAGAACATGCAGGAGAACTGAAACTCTCTGTACAAACTTTGGCTGCAAACATCATGACACAGCTGCTTCAACAACTTTATGAAAGCATTCAATTTTCAGGCGTTTTTTTTAGAACTATGATTCTAGACATCTGAACTGTGTGGTGCATTTTACATCTTCACTTTGCAAAGCATGGGAGCTAGAGAACATTTCCAAGTATCTGAGAAACTATTATCTTCAAGAGGACAAGATGAAATTTGGCCAATTAAACAAGATATTMTGTTAGCATTAGTCTTATAGAAATAAATGTAAGAGATACAAATGTAACCCTTCCTCCACATGAGTGTCCATCACARTGCACAGCAGACTAGACTACAGCACTCTGAATTGTACTCCAGACTACAGAAGTCTGAAAAACTTAAGGGGTCACATCAGACTTGAAGACTTTTACTCTGTGAGCCTATAACGTTGACCATAAAGAAACACCACCACAACAAAACCATAGCCACAGGCCAAACKTTTTGGAAAAGGTATCTAAGAGGATCAGGCTTTCAACCAACATGTAAGTTTCACAGTAAGGCAGCTGGATCACACTCGACAAAAATGCCATTTAACAGTGGTCAGCAGAAATGTTAGCAGCAGAAAATTAATCATTAATCTTCTACGTGTACAACTGAAATTGTATGAAAGAATGCAGCTTTTTTTTTCCTAAGGAGAGTCTCCTTACCCCTCATGTCAGTTTAATCATCACTTTTTTACCTATATTCAAGTTTCAGAAAACTGGGTCAAGAAAATGTTTACCATATCATGGTATCTCTTACATTTTAAGTGGTAGCTACTACTGTCTCTTGTATTTTTTTCAAAACTGCTAAATCCACCGATCCTGTGCAAGCAGGGAGCATGTGCTTTCAAATACCTTACCAGGAGGAGTTTCAACAAGTTTCATCCCATTTTATMCTCTTCCATAACACTTAAAGAGTATTTTTAGCTTATTTTTTATAATTATACATGCTTAACATTCGATTACAAAAAATGTTATCATTATATGATGTTATCTCTGCTGCCTTTAAATATGTAGAAGCACTTAAACTAAATTAAACAGCTATCTAGAGTGGCTGACTGGAATTCAGTCGTGSTGCTTTATCAAGACCAGGGTCTCCTCACCTATTGTATAACTACAATTAACTCATGTGGTAGTTTTGTAATTTGTATTGACATACATCTGCATTAGTCAAAGCACATAAGAGTTAACACAGACTCTAAAATATCTAGGCACAGTGACTCATTCCTGACAGATCCTCTGGTTAGCAAGTGAAGATAAAGTGAMGTTCATGACCCACTTATCAGATACTGTTGTCAGTGGGAATCTCACGAAAAGAGAGACTCTTGTTCAGAAACCTTTAAAAACTTTAATAGTATCAACATTTAATTTATTTATCTTCAGTAAAACAGGAAAGCAGCAATCAGCAATTTTAATTCTTATTAATGACACTTTAAATAGTTTACCACTAATAGAGAAGGCAGATTTCAGCTTACTAACATTGCCCCAACTGATGCCCATGAAGTGCAAGCTTGGAGATGACCATCAAGAACCTTCACAAATCAGTTTTCTCCATTATCTTACTCACAAGTAAACCCCTAGCTAAGAATCAATAAAGTCATCAGGACTTGGACTTCACTTACTAATTTCATGCGAGCAGTTTGAAGTCCAAGGTGCCTCCTTCCCCTCTAACATGTTTTCCAGAGCAGGAAGGACTTGAGGTTCAACTCCTCTCAATCCTAAAGAGTATGGACAGCTTCAAGGAAATGGGCACTCCCACCTCTATCTGGAGGTGTCCCAGCCCATGGCAAGGAGGTTGGAATCAGATGTTTATAAAGGTACCTTCTAATTCAAACCATTCTTGCAATTCTACGATCATGCAAGTGCACTTCAGTGTTGCAGATGTGATCACAAAGTGGGTACTAAATAAAGGGTGGGAGATGACTTGGTTCAAATCCACCAGGTGTTAATAAGTATTTAAGATGACAGTGGCCTTGATCCCCCTGACTTTCAACCGATGGCACTGGAAACGCAGTAAGAGTAACTCTGATTGTCAGGAAAGGACTGTGGTTTCTAACTGATAAGAAACTGTGGTTTTTAATTTCTGCATAGATGGAGAGACCTCACACGTAGTCCCACTGTATGCCCTTTTGGGGTAAAAAGTTGATCTCTGTCCCAGGGATCTGTGGGCCTGGCCCATCAGCAAAGTGGTTAGGAAGTGAAACAGCCTTTGACAAACTTGCACGATGTTACCACCCTAAGCCAAGGACAAGACTGGATTGGCCCCAATGTGCTGCCACCGAAATCCGCTCCAGAGCGGTGAAGAAGTGAGCCACTACAGACCTAGGTCATTCCATCAGTATAGAACTGCATATTCTATGCTACCCTAAACCTACCACTTAAAAATATTCATCAAGTGACCAGCACCTGTGACAGCTCATTTAAGAAGGACAAAAGAAGTATTTTAACATAGGAATGTAACCCCAATAGAACTCCAAAATTCATGCCAAACCTCTCCCTTCATAGAACCTGGTAATAATCCTGTTTTGAATTTAGAAGGAAAAGAAAAACTTGCTTTTCAGGAATTCTCCTTAGAAAACCTGAAAATGAGTAAGAACAGGACTGAAACTAGGGAGCTTTCTCCTCAGCATCTACAAACACAAGGTTATCTTGCTCCAGGCTACTTAAATCACAAGTATTGCTCCCAATGCAGTTACAAGGTCAGATACCGTATTTCTCAATAATACTATAATATAAGTATATTTAATAATACTAAATATTATAATACTAAATAATATACTAAATATAGTAATATTTATATTATAATACTAAATATATATAATACTAAATTATATAATTATAATACTAAAGCCTTTTGGAACAAGACTGATGCAGCAATTTTGTTGGCAGCTAAAAGTATGCTTCAAAGCTGAGGATCTTCTCTCTGATAAAGCAGATAAACTATTTCCAATAGTTTCAGCTCTAGGGTTCTCAGATCCCGAGAATGTAATTTAAATTCAGGATCCTTCTCAGGCATCACTTCATGCTATATAAAAAACATCATACCTTGGAACAAGAAGTCTACAATCAAGTCTAGCTCCATTCCCAGGTAAGGAACCTTAAAACTACATGGCAGCAATGGCGCRCTTCTGGCACATAAAACATCAGACCTATCATATAAGGATGTGGACAATTTGGATATTGATCATTAAGACGTTGAGGGTCACTTCAGTAGCTTGTGAAGTCATTCATAAGCAATTTTGATAAGGAATGCTAAATACGTGGGATATACAAGACAGAGACAAACACTGTGAACAGCCATCCCAGCAACTGATGAAGTACCAGTTACATCTTTCCATTCCCACAACAAAAGGTCAGGAAACACCTAACAAAGGGACATTTAGTTTAAATGCATTGAAGCAATTTCCTACAGAGAAAACAGGCTTGTTTCCTCCATCAACCAGACTTCACCTGAAGACAGCAAGCTATGGCATGAGTCCAGTCTTGTTTTTCTGGCATCCCCAAAACATCTGTATTCTTCACACTGAAGAGCAAAGACTGCTTTGAGATTTAGTCAGCCCAGGAGGAATACAAGCAGTGATTTCAGTATCCCAGACTACCATGCCAAAGCAGGCTACTTCAGGTTTACTTATTCCACTCCCTAACATCTTAAGAACAAGTCATATKCTGCGGGAAGAACTGCTGGTTATTCAGACATAGGGGAAGCAAACCACATTCATCCAACAGAAGTCAGAGACTGTTGTGTAAGAAGGAAGCCAGAGAGCATATATTGATTCAAGTGTGCATCCTAAAGAAGTTGTTAAGTGCTGCAATGCAAAAGCAGTTTAATCTATGAAGTAAAGTAATCAGCCCTTTTTCCAAGGTACAAGCTTCATTACCAGCATCCCTGAAAAGAAGCAGCTTTGCATCAACAAGAGCTAAAGCCTAACTTCAATAAGGTTGAATTAAAATTCAAGGAAACCTTGTAAAAGCATCTGCTTTTCCACATGTGAATCTTCTGTCCTAATGCTCTAAAGCTCAGGTTTAAATATTCTGTTAGCATTTATAGCACTCAAACTAACCTAAATGAAATGCAAATACACACGCTTCATTTTTTGATATATAATCTAAAAAAAAAAAAATCATTAATCTAAGTTCCTTCTGACTAGCAGCATCAGCATCAGTTCCTTCTGCCTTTATTCCATTACTTTAAAGAATTGCAGAGCACCATCTTGGAATGGTACTTGGAAAAATGGCAAGATGCAGGAAATTCCCAAACTAACATACCTGTTATTTTGTCCCTGACGAGCTTGCAGGATTCTATTTCCCCAATGCTGCCAAACAGACTCTTCAGTTCTTCTTGGGTCATGTTCTGTGGAAGGTAGTTGACTATTAAATTGGTCTTGCTATCTTCTGTGTTCCCAGAATCAACTGGTGATGAGCAATTGTTTATAGTGGCTGAACCATGGGCTGCGTTATTACAAGTTGGTCCATTAGACAGTTGTGTTTCCATGGCAGCAATTACCTGCTGAAAAATACAGAAAACAAGAACTATCAAAATTTGTATTTCACTATCTAAGGTGACAGACCTGTCACTATGCAGACATTATACTGCCAAGGCCATATACTGACTCTACATGCAAGAAAAAAGCCCCAAAAGCCACCGATACAAAAGGACATTAAACTGTTAGTCAACACAACACCTTAAAAATCTGTAGGCAAATAAGCTGAATCCTCTACAAGCTCACTAAATTAATGAGCACTCAAGGTTTAGTTTCCATCCTCTGCCATTCCCTTCATTTAGGGGAATCACAGCCTTTCTATTACAGAAGTTACCAAAACTGGCCTGTTGCAAGTGTAATCGTTTCTACAAACTTACAACTGGTTACTGAAATAAAAAGAAATGCAGCTTTTAGGGTGGCAGCATTTCATTCTTTTGAGAAAAAGGTGGGCATTAACTGTATCCAAAGAATGTTTCTCATGAGAGACAGCAGAAATCAAGATTAGTACTTCAAAGAGATACTTATATGAATGTGCTGGGATGGAAAATATACTCTTCCTTGACAAAATCCATGTCAAACTTCTGTCATCACAGGCTGGAATCAGGTTTCTAAATGCTTTTACTTGATGAGACTGACAATTGCTGGTTCTTATTTCTTCCCTCCCCGAACTCTGAGAACAGTTAAGTTTGAATTCTGAACTGAATTTACTTTTAGAACACTCCAGAACTATCCTGTGCCTGGAAGATCACAGAACAGATCCTCCTAGAACCAGTGCACATGGAGAACAGGGAAGTGTTTGAGACAGCCAGAACGGCTTCACCAAGGGCAAATCCTGTCTGACTGAGTGGCCTTTCTGTGATGGAGTAGACAAGGGAAGGGCTACAGACTTTACCTGTCCAGACTTTTGCAAAGTCTTTGACACAGTCCCCTACAACATCTCTATCTCTAAAATGAAGAATATTTGTGGGTGGATTAATAGACAGMTAAGAAAGTGATTGGACAGTTGCATCCAGAGGGTGGTAGTCAATAGCTCAGAGTCTCGACAGACATCAGTGACAAGTGGTGTCCCACAGGGGTCTGTACTGGGACCAGTGCTATTCAATCTGTCTGCTAATAACAAAAATGGATYGAGTACATCCTCTGCAAGTTTGCAGATGACCTCAAGCTGAGTGGTGCTGTGGACACTTGTGAAGATTGGGAAGTACAGAGGGACCTGGCCAAGATGGAGAAATGAGCCCATTGGAATCTCTTGAGGTTAACAAGCCCAAGTGCCGGTGCTGCACCTGGGATGAGCAGATCAGAGCAACTCMGTGAGAAGGATGTGGGGGTGCTGTGAGTGAGAGGCTGGACATGACTCGGCCATGGCACTGCCAGCCCAGAGAGACAAAYGTGTCCTGGRCTRCATCCAAAGCAGCGTGGGCAGCAGGGGAGGGAGGGGATTGTGCCCCTCTGCTCTGCTCTGCTGASACCCCACCTGGACACTGCATCCAGCACAGGAGTACATGGATCTGTTGGAGTGAGTCTGGAGGAGAACCTGGATTAGATGGATGGAGCATGTCTCCTGTGATGAAATGCTGAGAGAATCTGGTTTGTTTTGCCTGGAAAAAAGAGCCTTTGGGGTAGCCTGATTGTGGCCTTTTAGTACTGGAAGGGGCCRTATAAGAAAGATAGAAAAAGAGTTTTCAGAAGAGCATGTTGTGACAGGAGAAAAAAGAATGTCTTCAAACTGAAAGAGGGTGGGTTTAGATCACATATTAGGAAGAAATTCTTTACCATAAGGGTGGTAAGGCACTTGCCCTGTGAGGCTGTGGATGCCCCATCTCTTAAAAAGTTCAAGGTCAGGCTGGAAGGAGCTTTGAGCAACYTGCATAGTGGAAGGTATCCCTGTTCATGGCAAATGCATTAGAGACARACAATCTCTAAAGTACTTTCAACTCAAACCATTCTGACTCTACTGTGTCTCACCCCAAAGTAACTTAGTGTATGGTTTCAAGGTGARATAGAAATAATTTGGAGGAGTCTATACGTGTACACAAGTACTTGTCCATAAGCTGCCACATGCACAAAAGGCACGCTGCGATCTCAGTCAGTGACTGAATCACAACGGCTGGTAAATACAATACATTTTTAATGGCAGCCTAATATCTAAGATCTGGGCAGCTTACCCTGTTGGAGACCAACTATTCAGGACAACATGCAAGAGAAAATTAGGTAAGTTAATTCTCCAGTAATACACATTTCAACACAAGAACTTCATGAAAGAAATCCRTAAATCACTGAAATTCAACCTCATATTAAACTGCTAGGAGAAGTTCTCACAAAAAAGCCTCTTGTAAAATCACAGAGTAGCATCACAACCTCTGAAGGGTCTGTCCTAACAATCCTGTTTAAAGCACCACAGGGAATCAGGGCAACTCCAAACAACTGATGAGGTCAGCTGTGTTCAGGGAGAGTGTAACTGAATTTCCTAGTAACATGACAGGGGCTAAGTTGAGTTTCTTATTAAAAATACAACTGAGACATTCCTGGGAACACATTTCTGTGTTCTGCATACAGAAGYATTATCCAAGAGGTTACTTCAGCACAACGCAAAAAAGGATACATCTATGAAGAACACTCATTAGAAAAGCRTGATCTAGTTTTCCTGAAGAGCTACAACTGGAACAACATTTTCTTCCCTTGTGACAAACTCCAAGGGGTAACCTGCTCCTGGCACTGAGGAAACAAATCCACTGAAAAGATGATAAAGTAAATTATCCCAATTAAGATAAACTACTTTTCAAAACACTAACATGTCTGTTAAAGGTAGTAGCCACAAATGCCATGCTCTGAGGCTCTGTAGGATTGCCTTCTTCCCCCTTTTGTCTTTTATTCTCAAATCTGAAGTGTTCATTGATCAAAATTAGCAGGATTTAGCAAGGACAACAAACAATTCTCACTTAAGTGCACATTTGTTTTCATGTTCAGGTGGCAAGAATGAGATCCTAAGCCAACATTCAAGTGAACAGCTGCAGTAGCCTAAGTGTGCTGAAAATTACAGCAACTCTCAGCTATAGAACCATCTGCTCTGAATAAAGTGATACTAATATGTTTTACAAATAACACATATCCCACTAACAGGCTAAAGAGAACTGTTCATAAAAGACAAAGCACTAAATATTTTTCACTCAGAAAAACAGTTTGAGATAAATCTATAGTTTTAAAAAAATTCTTAAAATAGACTGGCAAATATACTTATAAAATAGTAATCATAAATACAGAAGTATACAGGTTTTCAAAGTTACTGCAATTTAGTATTCAGACCATACCAAAACCATTTTAGTACAATACTACTCTTCAATTATCCACCRGTTATTTTCAATTACTACTAAAATCTAATTGACATTAGAAGAAAGGCAAGCCAGTGCAGCGTAATTTCTACAGATCACCRTATCATGGAAAAAGTTGTCTTGGTATGCCAGTGTGCTCTAGGCTCTCACAGAATAGGAACACAACCTACAGCCTATAATGAAACATATAAGCGAGTTAGCATTCCAAATGGACGGTTAAAAGACTTTGGTATGGCCTCAGCACTATTAAACACGTAAAAAAGTAGCCTACAGAATTTAAGAAAAGTCCCACAGACCCCAGTCCAAGGCTCTGCTGCCCACGAACCACTTCTAAGCAGAGAAGCCACATCACACAGTCTGACTGCCATGTTAGTTTGGAGTTGCCGTCTGCAATATGGACACAAAAAGTACCGTATGTTAGATTAGCAAGATAATGCAACAAATCAGTTTGCACAAATTTACAGTAATTGCATTTATATTCCCAGCACGTCCATGCAGTGTGGCTTAATTGGATTTGAGGCAATTCCAATCTAATCTTTCCAAATTCAGTTGTAAAATTATTTTTTCTTACGTGAAATAAGATGCTTATTTTTAAGAAGATTTAAAAGATAATGCAGTCTAGTTACCCCTCCATCTACCCTGGAAACAACCTCCAGAACCACACCATGCCTAAAAGAAACTAAACCACAAAACAAATTTGTAAATCTCCGAGACTGAAGAGGAAAGAAAGAAAATACAGTGAGTTCATTTTTCATCAGCACACARGATGATCATGTACTACTGTAAGACAGCTCCCCTTACAAGTCTTTCCCAGCCCACAGGAAAAGGAAATAAATGAAGATGACAAACTACTTTGTTAAAATCCAGTCTGGTCTTAAACTCCCAAGTTTTAAAAATTAAGTAAATTAAAATATTTTGCAGATGGGATTCACTAAGTGTACTTGCAATAGCTATTTAAAAGCACCATTAGACATACAAGTGGCGGTAGAGTCAAGGACTTATCAAGTGGAGTAACTGGAACAAAATATGCAGATGTTTTTCATRAGAGCATTTTTGTACCCAAGAGGCTTGTTTTTTGTTTCAACTAAAATATGAGTGAAAATCCAGTTTGTTTTACATTGAACAGTGCTAGGAGGATACAAAAAAAAAAGCCAACAGGCCATTATTTGCAGATATTATTAGGTAGATGTGAAATATGACCACAACAGGAACAAACAGAAAGATTCCTGATCACTGCAACAGCTCAAGACTGTTGTTAGTAGAAAGATTCTTCTGGACCTTGGTTAGCAGATGACCTGAGTCTAAACTTTCATAAAAAGGTTCTTCAGAGGGCTGTGGCATCCTGGGTTTATAGAGACATACTTCAACACTTTTTCTATTGTAATATGGTGCAAGTTACTTTTCATATCAGTTTGCTATCAAAGTCCATATGGTTAGCTGACTTCGTGTCTGGTCTTCACTGCTAACCTACGTTAACACAGACCTTCAATCACCTTTTTATGCAAAATGCTGAGGATCTAGTATTAACTCCAAGTTTGCATGCATCTGYGGTCTCAGCTCAAAACCAACAGCAACAACTTGACTCCTCAAGTTCTACACTGCTCACAGGCAAGTGTATTTGATTAATYACCTAAGTCCAGATAAGCTTTATGAAAAAGACTGCATTGAAAAAGCAGTCTGCAAAACTCTGTCCTACAGAGACTGTAGTGATGTACCTGGATCTCTGCAGCTCTCAGAAAAGCAGTGTGACCCCACAGATTATCTGTTTCCTGTGAAGCACAGGGTGTAGACAGAAAATTCCAACAGGATAGCTTACTTGTATGTACAGCACTTCAGGGCACTCACGACAGATTCACTGCTCACTCAAGCACTGCAGCACTTCTCAAAAAAAGCCGAGAGCACCTGTCATTTGAAGTACTTCCAGCTTGCATAACACACCCATCTTCACTGAAGCATTCTATACRGTACTTGCAATCAGCATGCAAGTCAGCTTTCTGACTAAAAAAAAATTGYCTCAAAACCATATTTTGCTCTACCAATTCTTCTACCATTTTTATTACTTTCAAAGCTGTACCGACTCCTCTCTTACAACTAGTTTGGAAAACTGGAGTTCTTGTCATTTTAATTACACTTCTACCTGACCCCCCAAAAAATTTAAACATAGCTAACCRCATTATAGGGAAAAAAAGCTCTCTGAAATGAGTTTTCAGAAACATCTAAACACTACATTAAACCAGCACATTAACATAAAATTTGAGTTTAGAGTTTTCTTCTCCCATCCAAAAAAAAAGTTTTAAAATAGTGAACTACTGAAGAATCCCTAGTACTATTAAAAAAGCTAATTTAGTTTCTGACTATTAGCCTCAGAGACAGTATTAAACTTCAGGTTATTAAAATAGCTTAGCAGTTGCTGCATACAAAACCTACAAAACTACAATGTTCAGCAAACAGGGTTCTACACCTACTAAGGAAAGGTTCGTCTTAAAATACATTCAGATTAAGAGGAGAACAATAAAGTAAGGTTGACCGAAGACATCTGCTTTCTATATAACATTGAAAGGAAGCAGAACTGAAGACACAGTTGTTCAGTTGAGCAAACCGAACAAGTTGAGTGTTTCCCTTTAATATGCAGTGCATGGGAGCCACCTATCTTCCAACAAACTTACTCTTAGTTCACAAAGAACAGATACGATTTTAAACCCAGACACTCCTCAACACTGTTCACAGCATTAACTGAATGCCAGTTTCTAATTAGCTGCAGTTCAAGGAAGTTTTAAGTAAGATTTGCCTAGCAGAGAAGCAAGTAGGCTTTTCTGTTTTTCAAGAGAAAAGACATCAGAAGTTCAAAAGCCATATGGTTTATGCAATTAGTTCTGGTTGCCATAGAACAGTTCCAATTATAACAGCAGATTTTTATATGAGAGCTTTAGAAAATGTATCAGAGCTAGAAAGATGGAGACTGGCTAAACAGTAGTCACAGTGGCCTACTAATTTTCTCTGCRACACAGGTATTTTGGTGTGTAACACTCAACTACTCATGCTCAGCTGAAARTGCAATA